GTGTGTTTTCATCAGTACTGGAACATTCCATGCCCCAGTGCACCCAGAGTTGTAAGGGGCCTTCTTCTTCCCTGAAGCATCCTTACTTCACTAGGATTGTGCATAATCAAAACTCCCTTCTGGTTTAAGGGTGTTCAACCAATAGTTGGGCCAACAACTTTCCATGAGAAACAGGCTCTGCTCTACTTCCTGGTGTGGGAACAGGGACGTCCAACTTCATCCTCTACTCTGTTCGCTGGGACACAGCAGGTAGGAGCAGGTGCCTGGTACAGAGCACAGTGGAACAGAGACAAACCACCCCCTAGATTCCAGATCTTGTTCCTCTCCCGACAAAACATGGAATCAACGTTTGGCAAATAAAACCATTTCCCTCCTTGTGCATCTGTTCTGTTGCCTATTAAACTCACGTAGTAAGACTCAGACGTAACGTCTAAGAATTGTTATGAAAATCAAATATAATACGCTTGGAAAATGTTCAAAAGGCAAAAAACACAAAGAAATGAATCAGTAATCTGTGGTCCAGGCAGAACCTCCTTCCTATCCCTGTTTTCACACTGACTGAACGGGATCTATCAGAATCCAGGCTGGTCCAAGAACAGATTTCCTGCAAACCCCGGATGCGTCTCTCATGACCAGATCACGGACGCAGATGAGGCTTCAGCTCTCCGTGACCCTAATGAACACTCACACCGCCAATGTTCATGGCTCAGTGAGTTCATACCAGGGTGGGGATGTCATGAGATCAGAAACATCAGAATTAAAGAGGAGAGGTGTGTCCTCCAGTAAGGAGGTCACACAAACTACCATGTGTCACATTTCATCAAAGCTAAGACAACATCAATTGTAATAGACATCATTATTTTGCACCGTTAAGAAACAAAAAAAAATCCTTAAAAATTTAGATTCCTACACCGGTAAGAAAGAAACACTTAAAAATGAAGAAATGTGCATTTTATGATGAGGAAGAAAAATGGTTTAAAAAATTATTTTTAAAGCTTTAAAAAAGATAGTGGTAATAATTAATAAACTAAATCAATATAGCATAACCTCTCTATGTATCTGTCATGACCCAACAGGCTCTAAAAAATGACACAGGAAAAGTGATCCCTTATAATCTATAGAAGGAATCCTGAAAGATTCCTGCTCTAACACATTTAACCTGTTCATTTAAAGAATAGCATTTTTAACTCTAAGGCCTGAAAAGTAGCAAAAAACAGAATTGCGTGGATAATCAAATGAGAAGTTTGAGATCAATATGTGAGGAAGCCATGAACCAATTCTAGGTGTGTTAACATGCCTCCAAACCTCCCTTCCATGTAGGAAAATTTATTTTAGGACTAAAATGCCAAGACCAATCATGCTTTGTTGAGGAACGGGTGCTGGTGACACAGATTAGGAAGTAGCGACATTCTGACTGGGTAGGCAGGTTTTGTGAAACCGTTAGGGCCGCTGTTCTATTTTCTTTGGGCAGGAGTTTGAAACCTTTTTCTGTCAAAAGCCACACAGGAAGCAGTCAGCTCTCGGCCGTAACACAGAAGCTGCCACAGACAGTCCACGTGCAGCCACGTGTGGCTGTGCTCCTATACAAGTTTACTTATGAAAATGGGAGGCAGCCCAGTTTTGTTCTTGGGGCTGTGGTTCGCCTTAGAAGACGAATAAAGCCGAGACTCTTGCAAATAAACACATTGGGTCAAACGTATCTAAAAATTTGGCTGTTCCACTTGGCAGAAGAATGAAATCTAGAGTCCTTCTGAGTCTCAGCATTTACAAAGAGAAGTTAGGGTCACGAAAAGAGGGAGACTGTATGCACTCTTAGTAAGCAGGCTGATAACCGGGAGGAAGGGCAGGATCGTATCAGTTCTACCTTGGTGAATGAGTAGCCTCCAAAATGCTGCACCTTGGGTCAGTCCATCAGGTCTCCGTCTACTTCAACATAACTTATAGTCAGACATTACAGCAAAAGAGAAAGGAGACACAGAGCTGTACAAACGATCAACAGACCTCAAATCGAACAGTGAGGCTTGAGTTACTTAACTGTCGGGCTGAGGCATGCCCACAGAAGGCTCGTGTTAACTGGCCTCTATCTTTCCCACCTCTTGAGTTTCAATTACCCTCTCCTACTAGACTGGGCATCACCATTTGTACACGAGTCCCATTTTAACAAAGTGGGTTTGGTGCAGAAGCCTTCACGATTATTTCAGAGAGAACAGTATTATGGAGGCAGGCTGTCACATTTGGAATTTCCAGGGAGAGAGGTTTCAGATGACCTTCAGTTCTATCTTCCTTCTCGGGGATCAGAGGTAACAGTGTCACCCCAGAGTCACGGATGTTCAGGGGTAATGTGTTTATGAGGCAGACAATGTGGTACGTCTTGTTCTCAAGATGCTACCACATCGTATTTTAACTCGTATGGACTATGGTTTCTGTGTAGGAGAGAATTCAGAACACAAGTAGGAGTGCATGTTTGAGAACATACAAGACGCTGCCTCAGCTCATCACTTCTGTTCTATTCCTGATCACTGCACTGCTCTGTGCATCAAGGGGCCTGAACCATTTCTGTTTATTTGTTTTTTGGAGTGGATATGCCTTAGAGTGAGCCCCACAGAGTCATAAACCCCTGATGTCATCCCCTCTCTCTGCATATGTGTGTGTGTGTGTCTGTGTGTGTGTGTCTGTGTCTGTGTGAGTGTGTTTGGGGGTGAGAGGCTGTTGACTTGTTCTAACCTGCTGAATATGGCAAAGGGGAGGGGACGTCACTCCTGGGAATATGCTGTGTTTTACAAGACGTGGTCTCAGCAGACTGGCCATCAGGCTTCTGCTGGAGAACAGCCATGTCATGACCTGCCCGGGGTGGGAGGTGGGGGAGGCGCACACGGGAAGGAACTGAGAGTGGACCCCAGCCAACAGCCATCAAGACAACGGGACCTCAGTCCTCTAACCATAAGGAAATGGATTCTGCCACCAAAGGCCGTGAGCTTGTTAGCAGAGCATTGGCAGAAGCCGCTGAGCCCCCCAGACAAGAATGGAGTGCAGCAAACACCGTGGCTACAGCCTTTGTGGGGCCCGGAGGCAAAGAATGCGTTTGAGTCATGTCCAACTCCTGACCCACAAACACTGTGAGATAATAAATGGGTGTTGTTTTAAGCCACTAGGCTTGGGGGTAATTAGTTATGTACCGATAGATGACTAATAAGAGATACATTAAATTGAGTGCCAGGTCAGCATATGTTTTCAGGAAAAGTCTGGACTGAGTCCCTGAAGCAGCCGACATGTTTTAGGAAGATGGACGGGTAATACGTCAGCTCCCTGGAGGGAGGACAGAGACCAAGATTTATGCTATTCGGGAGCATCGCCATCCAGGAAAGGGCTGCATACAAAGACATATGAAGCTTCTACTTCTTTCCAATTTAACACTACATCACTAGCTTAGCTGGGATCATCCTTACAGAGCAAGTGGCTAAAAAACTCCACATATCTGCCAGTCCTATATATTATTTGAGGCATTTTAATGTTCACAATTACTAAGTGCTTCCAAACACTTCACTGACAGCAATCCTCGGGTCTGAAGGCAACACAGACAGCAGTACGTAAGAGTGTGCCAATCACCGATATTCTGGCCAGTCACGAAAAGAGAACAACTTGCAGAGCAAAACCAAAGTGAGATCAGGAAGACCGCATGTTGATCATGTTGGTAGCTGAGAAACACTTCCATTCCAGTTTTTTCTCCGACAATACTGAATGCCCTCCTAGGAGAACCCAGTTACACTAGCACCCTACAGAGCCGTCCAAGGCACGCCCGGCCACAGCCGCACTTGGATGCAGGGAAAGGTGTCAGGCTTGGTCTTTCTAGCTAGAGTGAGGGCATCTTACTTGCTGAGCCCCAGCTTCCCAGTGCATCCACACACAACTCTCATGGACTTGCTGTGTGGCTTTGGTTATGTCCACGTTTACCGGGAAGGTCAAGGATATCGGGACTGTGGAGACACTTTATCCTCCATAAAATTGATGGAGCTATTATTAGCCCAGCTCCAGGTTCATATTCTCAGAGTAGAATTTGTGTGCCCTCCCAGATGAAACATAGGCAAGAAGACCGCATGAAGACCTCATGCAGGGGAAGGCTGGACCGCTAGGTCTCTCTGGAGAAGCTCGGAAGAGCTTCCTGTCAGCCTCCAATTCGCTCAGAGAAGCCCCATAACATTACGTCCCTCTGACACCACTGAGCATCTCTCCTGGTTAGGTCCCCACGGCCCCCACGGGGCTTCCTGGACTGCCACAGTGGGCTCCTCAACCTTAGCTCTGTACGGGTCTCGTGGCTTCCCCATTCTTTCTTTGAGAGCACCCCGCGCTCAGCCCGACTCCCCTTCCTCCTGGCTGTGTCTGAGCACACAGCAGGCTGCATCAGACCCTGGGCCCGCGCTCTGCTCTGGTGGACACAGTCCAGTAGAGCGGCTCTTCCCCTCAGCAGCACAACGGGCAATTTTAGACACTAGCTTTCCAGGACAATCACACTGGAGAGCACAGGGCAAGTAAGATGCCTCCTATCCAGTTAAAAGTGGGTAAGCCTTCTGCCCAGGACGTGGGGTGAACCATGGCATGGGAATGTTGAGCACCCCACTACATATAAAATGGGTGTCTTCTCCCACCGGCAGGTAAACTTCAACATCGTGCTGACAATGACTTACAGAATATCCAGGAGGGCAGCCATAGCTGTACCTTTAAAAAGGTTCTAGACTCTAAATATACGTAGTAAAAGTTACTTCTGTGTGTCTGATTAATGAATAACGGAAGCAGTGGGTAGCTAGGTTTTAAGAAAACTCAGTAATGTTTTTCTTTTTTCTGTGAATACACACACACACAGACACACACCCATCCCCAAAGTAAACTGATCTCCCCAACCTGCAGAGAAACATGGGTGCCCTTCCACGCCAGTGATGCCGCCGAGCACATCCGATCTACGGCACGTGCTAAGGGTCCCCTGGGGGACCCGGGGGCCGTCTTACCTCGCAGAGGCTGTGACACTGCTCCTTCTGCACGTCCCAGGTGTCCTTGCATGGCTCCAGGCACTGGGAGAGAGTAACAGGAAGTCAATAAACAATGTGACAAGAAACAAGGCCAACGGAAGAAAACCTGCGCGCCTCGCTTTCCCGTGCCTGCTTGTGTGACTTAGCTCAGGAAAGCCGGCCCCTCAGCTCAATGCCGCGTGAGGGGAATCTGAACAGGGGCCTCCCTACACAGCAGGAACCAGAAAATGTGGATTTCAACACAACTGGAGAAAAGCTGCCCCGTTTGGAGATGCCATGTAGGGAAAGTAGTGACATTCACCATCAGGCAGAACAGTTTAGATGAGAAGAACTTGTATTCAGGAAGACATGTTTTCTAGGGGCACCTGCCTGGTTTGGTCAGTGGTGCGCACAACTCTTGATCTCCGGGCTGTAAGTTTGAGCCCCATGTTGGGCATAGAGATCACTTAACAGGCAATGAAGTCTTTTAAAAAAAGAAATGCTTTCTAAAGGTTGTTGTCACAGGTGAATTTTGCTTTTTCATAAACTCTACCATGAACTTGCTTTTCAACGGGCAACATAGGCCTATTTTCTATATTTCTATATATTCTCCTGCATGTGACTGGGTGAAGTTGCACTGTATTAAATACACATATATAACACATAATTGTTAACTAATGGCTTTAACTCAATGGATCTATCAGCATTAACATGTGTCCAGTTTAATTGCCCTGTCAAAAAATATTGAATACACCTATTTATGAAAGAAATATTAAGAATATATTAAGTCAATCTAAAAATATTAAACTCTCTGATATGAGAGTTTCAGAATACAGAATAAAGCCTGAATATATGTATAAAATCTATCATGTATATATATTTTTTTTAATAATTTTTTTAATGTTTTATTTATTTCTAGGAGAGAGAGAGAGACAGCATGAGCAGGGGAGGGTCAGAGAGAGAGGGAGTCACAGACTGAAACAGGCTCCAGGCTCTGAGCTGGCAGTCAGCACAGAGCCCGACGCGGGGCCCGAACCCACGAACCGCGAGATCATGACCTAAGCGAAAGTCGGACGCTTAACCGACTAAGCCACCCAGGCGCCCCTATCATGTATATATATTGAAACAAATCAAAGATAAAGCTAGGCTCCAGTGTTCAATAACAATCATAATAATGTTATATAGCATATATAATAGTACATATTATATATTAAATGCATATAATATAATAAAGATTATGGGATAAAGTATATACACATGATTAATATAGCTTACTGCTATACATAATACTAATATATAAAATATAGTACTATATTATACTATATAATAAAAATAACATTACATATATAATACATATAATATCTATCTAATTATATAATAAAAACTATATTACATAAAACTAATATAATATATAAAATATAGTAGTATTATAAAAATAGTACTATAGTACTATTATATAGTACTATATTACTTGTATACTACATACCTTATGTATACTATACTACTATACCATGGATCTATGTATACATACACACACACACATATGTATAGTGCAGCACTATATATACACTACATATGTCACATAAACTACAGTACTACAAATAATATATAGTACTGTATATACTATATATAACACATAACAGTAAGTAAGAGATAACACCTAGCCCTCATGGTTGAATTTAAAATGCTACATTAATACAATGGAGATTTGACTCTCAATTTTATGTTTTAAAGCAAGTTTTAATTAGTAAAAATTAATAGTCTGGGGCACCTGGGTGGCTTAGTCAGCAGAGCATTGGACCGTTGATTTCAGCTCAGGTCATAATCTCAGCGGTGTGAGATTTAGCCCCGCAGCGGGCTCTGTGATGGGCATTGAGCCTGCTTGGGGTTCTCTGTCTCTTCCTCTCCCTCTGCCCTTCCCCTGACTCACATGCTTACATGTGTGTTCTCTCTCAAAAAATTAACAGTCATGTAGCTAAACGTTAGTCATCTAAATATCAGCATACCCCTAGCTCCCATAAGGTCATTATTATTTTATCTACGATTATTTCATTATTGATAAATTTTTCAGCTAGGATCAAAATTCTCAGTTAAATTCTAGATATACATACTCTAGAATACAGGATATATACCGAGAATATTCACTGTCCTCGGCAGTCACCTCCCCTTGTGTTTGAAAATAAAGATCTAGTTCCAGGGTGCCCGGGTGGCTCAGTTGGTTGAGCGTCCGACTCTTGATTTTGACTCAGGTCATGATCTCACAGTTCATGAGCTCGAGACCCACACGGAGCTCTGTGCTGACCATGCAGAGCCTGCTTCAGATCCTCTGTCCCTCTCTCTGCCCCTCCGCCACTCGCTCTCTCTCACTCTCTATCAAAAATAAGCAAACACTTATAAGAAAGTAAATAAGTAAGTAAATAAATAAGATAGAGTTAAACTGTATGACTCTATGGTAACACTTCATTTGCAGGTATATCCATTGTCTTTTTTTTCAATCAAAAAAGTATATATACATATGAAAACAAAGTGCTGTCATGTGCCAACTATCAATCTGTCATGGTAATGCTGCTCGAAGTGTGATCAATGGCTGATACTATGAACCTCACCTTATAGTTTATCAGAAATGCAAATTCACAGCCTCTGCCCCTTGACCTAGAGTCAGAATGTCCAGGATGGAGCCAGGAATCCCTTGTAACAATTTCTCCGGGAAATCCTGATGTTTACTAAACTTTAAAAAGAACTGCCTTATTGTGGTACACTTTTCCCGAGAGATACTTGTATCGAATCATCACATTGTACAAGTTCAAGTTCTACAATGCTATGAATCCAACCTCAGTAAAGTGGGGGAGCAGGAAGAACGGCTACAGAATTTGACGTAAATAAAAGTTCACAATGTCTCTTGTTTTATTTTTTATTAAGAAAAATCTACTTCTTGTAAGAATATTTTAGATTTTATATTCTTTAGTGTTTCATAGGAACAAATCATTTTTTCAGTTATCTTTTTTTTTTAATTTTACTTTAGAAAGACAGATGGTGCCAAGTGTGTGTGTGTGGGGGGGGGATGGGGTGGGCAGAGAGAGAGGGAGACGGAGAGAATCCCAAGCAGGCTCCATACACAGCACAGAGTCTGATGTGAGGCTCCATCCCATGGCCCTGGGATCATGACCTGAGATGAAATTAAGAGCCGGACGCTCAACCAACTGAGCCACGCAAGCGCCCCTATTTTATTTGTAAAAACTTGAGCTCTTCCATGATACTTCTCTAAGGCCTACATGAGCGTGTCCCCATTTCACTGGTTTTCACCCTTCCCAAGGACATTAAAGCAAATGCACAGGCTTTGCCATTATCACAGCTCTAAAAGAACAACGGTTTCTAACAGCAATGAAATTGTTTACAAACTTGTCTACCCTACATGTTTTACGAGTTCCTTAAAGAGTTAGTCTTGTTTCCTGAAGGGATGTCTAGTTCCTTATCTTCAGAGCTCTCTGTATGTTTTTAGACATTGGTTCCTAGCCAAAAACATGTAGTTTTCATTTAATAAGTATATCTAGACCTAATTCCTTTGACGACTATCTGAAGATAGTAAATGATACTCTTCAGAATACCTTGAGATTTCATTCAGCTGAACACATGTCCCATCATGTTTGAGAACCAGTCAATATTTTCATGGACACAAGTTCAGCTATTTACAAATGAAGTCTTAGTCATTTCATTCAGGAAACATAGAACAAACATTCATTCCATATAAAACTGCTCAAGGCAATGTGGGCTAACAATGTCTCAGAATAATTATGTCATTCTAGCTTTGTATCATTACTAAAAATGTAAATTGTGAAAACACACTACTACTTATGCACTTACCTGCATTGTCACAACTACAGACATTGGTGCATTAAAAAGTTTCAACTTTTGGGGCACCTGGGTGGCTCAGTCGGTTGAGTGTCCGACTTCGGCTCAGGTCATGATCTCACAGTTCGTGAGTTCAAACCCCGTGTCAGGCTCTGTGCTGACAGCTCGGAGCCTAGAGCCTGCTTCGGATTCTGTGCCTCCCTCTCTCTCTCTCTGTCCCTCCCCCACTCGTGTGTGTGTGTCTCTCTCTCTCCCTCTCTCTCTCAAAAATAAATAAACATTAAAAAAAATTTTAAGTTTCAATCCTTTGAGATCTCCACAATTCTACATAATCCTATTCCTGACAGATTGTGGAATACCTTATACAAAACAAATATCATTTACAAAAACAGGCATACTTGTGAAATGCTAATGGAAGCAATACATAATGCACTTGTCTTCTTGTTAATCTGGAATCTCTCTGCCAAGGCCAGCATCAGTATATGCAATTCATTTAAAGTTCTATTTTAATTGCATGCTTGCCTCATTTCCAATAACCGGTAATCACCAGTGTCTAAAGATACATCACAAAATGTTATTAATGACAGTCAACATTTTCTTTTAATAATCCTCTGTGAAAAGTGTCTGACAAGAAAAGCCTGGATATAGAAATCTGAGTAAATCTTTGCAAGATAGATTTGCTAAAGCTGTATTTCTTTAGACTACTCTTAGCCAGGTAGAATGATTGCAATGAAAGCCAGAGAGGGGCAAACAAAATCCCAACCATTTCTCTCACACTTCAAACAAGAAGAAAAAGCATCCTGTTTCTCCAGATTTTTTTTTTTTTATAAAGGGGGTTTTGTCAAAAGAGGGAAGACTAAAATCTCATTTCCACAGGAAAAAGATTCCTACAAGCAGACAATTGCTTTGGAATTTACTACATATCACAACTATAAGTGCCCTGATCAAATGACAAAGAAACAAAAAAAAAAAAAAAGTTACTATTTTGGCAAGTGTCTTAAGCTTCCACACCTTAGGAAGATGAAGTCTGTTTAATTATTTCTTCCCACATTACTGCTTCATGCCAAATGAAGAAAAACTTCAAAATTCAGAGAAAATTTTAAAAAATCAGCTGACAAAGCTAATCACATAGATCATCTGGAAATTAGACACCAATTATTTTTCACTTCATCTAGAAAGGCACATTTGCAATTTCACTTCCTTTGATGCTAATT